ATCATTTAAGGGACTTTAAATGTGGCATGGTTGTTTGTCTGAGTATTTCAGAAACTCCAGCGTTTACAGAGAGTGATTCAAAAAACAGAAAAATTCAATGACCGGCAGTTTTCTGTTGATATAAGAGAAGCAGACTGCTTTGAGCTGATAGGAAGGCAACAGCAACTCAGACAATAACTTGTGACAATCAAGGTATGCAGACGAGCATCTCAACAGTAGCAGAAGACCACACTGAGCACTACTCTTGTCAGCTAAGAACAGGAAGCTAAAGCCACAGTTCACCCAGCCTCATAAAAACTGGACTAATATAAGGTTGAAAGAATTTTGCCTGGTCAACATTCAGATGGTAGGGTCACCATTTAGCATAAACAGCTTGAAAGTATAGACTCATCAAATCTATATTAAACTGTGTGAAGCTATTGTCTCAAAATCTCTGCAGAATATTTCCAGAACCTTGTTGAATCTATACCATGAAGAACTAAGGCAGTTCTGAAGGGCTTCAAATCAGTAGTAGCAAGTTGTACCTAATAAAGTGACCAGTGAGTGTATTTCTTTCATAATAGCTTCATTAAATCCCTTTAAATTGGAAGCTGTTTCCATAGAAGATGGGCTTCCATGGAAGGATTTCAAATAAAATTTTGGATTTTAGATTCAGGAGACAGACACTTTCTTAAAACTTCCTTTTTGATAAAGTATAAGGGCTGAACCATCCCTTTATTATTGCTTTATAGCCATCAGAATGTGCCTTCTCTCTCCCATGGTTCGTTTCTTGTCCTATCTACCTATGCTCTCTTTTTCTTTTCTCTTTTCCCTCACCCTCTTTTGCCGGACATTTCTTTCTGTTAGAAGGGAGTTCTTGCTCCCCACTGTCACCAAGTGCTTGCTCATAGTGGTCATTTAATTATTGGACTTATCTCTCTAACACTGTAGTGTCTTGAGATGAATGTTATTGTGAACCGGAGCTATAAAAATTAAACTGAATTGAATGAAATAATGAAAAAAAAAAATGCCTAAAAAGTAACACTAATGCTACCAGTCAAATTCATTTTTAACCAAATTAATTAAACCAATTAAAAATACAAGTGCATGTTGATAAGAAAACAGTCTGCGAGTCTGCGCACATATTTTTTTTTTATATAATTATGCGTGCAATGTTGAAACAATGCTAATATTTCACTCTTAAGTGTAATAGTTGGAAGCTATTGTGGATTAAATTGAAATTCGGTGCATCCTCAAATCAGTTCAGATTCTTGACAAAATATCTAAAGGTATAAAAGTAAAACTAAAGACTTTTCCTTCAGCCTCAGCTCATTTTCCCGCTGAATGATTTTGTTTTTTTCTTTTCAGTCTTCTTCAGTCTTCGGCTCTTCTTCCCATTTCCTGCTTGTAAAGTCTCGACAAATCCTCTGGCTAATCCTATTGTGCGATGAGGCTTGGCCTTCATGAACCAGCCTCTCTTCACTGGATTTCTGTGCTGTGCTGAAGGAAATCATGATTTCAAGTTGGTTGACTCATAATCTTGGCACTGCCAAAGGACACATGATTAAGTTCAGGCTGCTAGCGCCCCTTGGTGGACAGAATGGGTACACTGAAACGCTGCAGGAGTAAACAGGAGCATGCTGCTGCTGTGCACCTTCATCTGGATTTAAAGCTCCCCCAAAATCTGCCAATAATGACCCATGGGCATTAAAGTCAAAGGAGGGATGTACTCTCATTGCTATTATTCGGATTTAATTATCCCAGCACAAACACACAAAACCTGCCAACGTGATTGAGAGCTGCATGGAAATGTATTCAGGAAGCAAAATAATTAAATTCTTTGGTGCATCTTTAATTTTTAGGCCTGAGTGAAAAGAAGCTTCAACAAAATTAGGTCAAATTTAAATATTCAAAGCCAAAAATCGGCTTAAAATGTGTCAAATAAGTTTACCCTGCATTGTGTAACAGTCAAACCAGAGGCATCTTTAATCCTTTTACTCTGCATACTCACTTAAGGGCTCTTCCCTTCTGCTTTTTTTTTTCCACGCAGCTGAAACACAGATTTGCATTTTGCCATAAATAAGGAAGTAAAACTTAATTTTTGCTAGCGAGTCCTACCAGGAGCAGAGATGGAAAAGCAGAGCTCATCATTACGTCTTTAATAAAGCAGCTGTGTTTTTAATAGACTGTGATGATCACGGTTGTTAGAGAACCTTTGTCACATCAGTCAACTCCAAAACATCCAAACCCATCATCTTTTATTCAATACAGAGTGGAGGAAGCAGGCCGTCTACTAATCAGAAGGCTGCTGTTTTGATCCCCGGGTTCCTCCAGTCTGGATGTCAGAGTGTCTTCGGGTGAGATACTGAACCCCCAAACTGCCCCTGATGCATCCATCGGAGCGTGAATGTGTGTGACAGAAAGAGTGAATGTGGCTTATGGTAAAAAGGTTTGTAGATGTGTCACTTTTAAAGTAGTTTGTGCAAAAACCCTCAAAGTTGAAGCTTCTGCAGCAGCAGATTTGGGTTCTCTGCGTTTTTTAGTCATGGCTCTCTCCAGAACATCACAACACAGCAATTTGAAGTGGGAAATTACAATAAAATCAGAGCCTGTAATGTTTAAAACATGCGTATGGAGTATTCCACACAACTTTCCATTATCCCCACTGCAGCAGAGAGCCACTTCCAGTAAAACTACGAGAAGCTGTAGGAGAAGCAAACAGACAAATTCTCAGTAGGAAACATCGTCATCATTAAAAGCGTCACACAAGCATATAAAGTCGCCAGCCACTTTAATAGGTATACCTTGTTACTATCTGGTTGGACCCCCTGTTGCGTTGCTGATTCATTATGGAAGAATTACACCCACTGGTCACTTTATTGAGTATACCCTGGTAATACTGGGCTAGGCCCCTTCAGAACTGACTCAATCATTCGCAGCACAGATTCAGCAAGGTGCTGGAAACATTCCTCAGAGATTTTGACATTTTAGCATCATATAGTTTGATGCAGATGTGCCGTAAGCACATCCCAAGGCAGGATGGATCCATGCATTCATGTTGTTTGCACCAAATTGTGACCCTACCATCTGAATATAGCAGAAGAAATCAAAACTCGTCAGATCAGACAATGTTTTTCCAAACTTCTGTTGTCCAAGGTTGGTGAGCCAACAGCTCAGTGTGGTGTTCTTAGCTCACAGGAGTAGCACCTGGTGTGGTCTTCTGTTCTTGAAATGCTCTTCTGACAAGTGGTTATTTTAGAAACTGAGGCCTTCCTGACACTTTAAAGCAGTTTTGTATTCTCCTCTGACCTCTTACATCAAAAAGACATCTTCTCCCAGTGAGAGACAAAAGTGCCAGAAAATCCCAGCTGATCTGGGAATTTCTGAAATATTCAGACCAACAACCATACCACATTCAAAGTTACTTAAATCACCTTTCTTAATCATTCTGATGCTCAGGTCATCTTAATCTATGTACCTAAATACCCCGAGTTGTCTACATGGATTGGTTGATTAGATATATACACCAGCTGAACAGGTGCACCTAAGTGTCCAGTTGGAGTTATGAATAACTGAATAACTGGCTTCTTTTGTGGGGTGAAATAATCCTTTGTAAAGACATAAAATGAAGGCCTTGCAGCCTTTTTATCTGTGGCTCTTTTTGCTGATTGACCTCAGATATTTTCCTCTTATGTGCTCATCTTTGTTGCTTCTGTGGGCTCTCTCTCTCCCTCCCTCTCTGTCTTCTCTCGCCTCTTTAGATCAAAAATCTCTCCAGCAGATGATTCAGTGTTTGCAGGGGGATCCCAGGGCGTTCCCATACCAGATGGGATATTTAAACCCTGCAGCATGCTTTTGATCTTCCCCACTCTTGTCTTCCTCCCAGTGGCTCAAAATAACCACCACAGGGAGGCGTCCTGGAGGCGCTGTAAGCAGATGTCTGAATCACCTCACCTGGCTCCTGTCAACAAAGCAAAATACTGGTTGTGTGTCAGGATAATTAGTTTAAGTTACTTTAAGACATAAAACATCTATGACTAAACTTTCACTCAATCCTTGAAAACTCCCCAAAAATTAAAGTAAAGAGATTTGTAACCCCACGTCCACACAACATACCAGCTCATTAAGACATGAGGCAAAGCACATATCTGCGATATGACAAAATTGGGAGGTACACTCAAAAAATTATCACCATCTTTTCATGTCTGGCATTACCCTGCACAGCTGGAAGTTTATTTTGCCTAAATTCCAGGCAAAACAGGGTGGTTTACTTTCATATTAACTCTTTAAACATTGAGATGTTTCTTATCGATGTCTCACCGCTGAGAAAGTGACATTAATGCTACTGAATGCCTCTCCATGTGGGTCGTGCAGAAGGAGGTGAAACGTAGGCAAGACAGCACTAAACAACATATGAACGGCCTCTTGCTAGTGAGCAAGCGCACGTCTTTGCTACGTAACGATTACCTCCACCTACCCATTGCCTTGCTATCTGGCTATACTCACTGTTTGCTGTATGACAAAAGGGGCATCATGCGTCATGCTCTCTCATCTTTGGTGCCA